CAGTTTTCAAGGCAAGTGTTTCGGAAGTGGTTTGCCAGAGCCTCCTTCCTAGGGCAGAGCCCAGCTGGCGAGCGCAGGAGGGGGGGTTTCCGTTGCTTCACGCCCTTTTCGCACTTACCAGCAACTGCTCCCGACTCCTTTTTGCAAGGCGCCACCAGCATTTTTCCTCCCACCGGAGTGAGAGTACCCATTTATCTACTCACGTGCGTTTTCAAACTGTTGGGTTGACAGGAACTGGGGAGGAAACAGGAGCTCACCCTGCTAACGCGAAGGCTGGACTCGAACCGCTGAAGTATCGACCATTTCTGGCCAGCAACTTTCAGCGAGACTGGGTAGCTATCTAAGATGCTTTAGCAGAACCTAAGGGAAGGAGCAGGGAATTGGGTTAGATGACCTCTGATGAGCCTTCCTACTCTATGATTCAATTATGTGAAATTAAAAAGGACTTACGCACAAGGTCAAACTGGAGACACATCATCCCAGAATATATGAAGGTTGCCCAGAGTTGTAGAGCTGATAACAGGAAAGTTAAAGCTCAGAAGCTGGGATTAACGAAGGATGCTAAAAACAACAACAAAAGAGGCTTCTTTAGATGTGTTCAAAACAGCTGCTCACTGGAAATGGCAAAATATTAGGTCACTCTTGGCTTTTAGTTTGGAACAGTCTTCGGCAAAAAGGCATGTGCTAATCTAGGCAGTTTTAAGGAACAGATTGAAGGGATGTTGCATATTGTAGATGACAGAGTATTTGTATTTATTATGGAAGCGTTCCAGTCTCCAGAACTGGGGTAAATTGCAAGCTAAGCTACTGAAGGAACTTCTTCGTGGTCCAGCTGAACCTCTATCCAGTTTGTGAAATTGTGGAAAACTGGACAAGGACAGATGTAATCCATACAGGGAAAGCAGAGATTTGAACAGCTATACGCTGCTCAGACAGAAGGAATTGGGAAGAGAAGATTGAGGGGAATATGATAGTGCTTTTTCAAATATCTGAAAGTCATACAGAAGGTCAAGATTTCTCTTGTTCCAAAGTGCAATACAAGGAATAATGGTTTTTTATAGGTTTAGAAAAGCAGTTGTGAAACCAATTACCTAGATAGGAGATAGGCCCCTCTCACTAGCTGTTACATGGAGAAGCCAGCTTTGCTTTAATTTGGATTCCCACATGAAGCAGAGATTACAGTAATAGCCCTTTCAAACTCATCACTTTTTAATGTGGGAGATTCTGTTGATGAATCCTTTGTTTCTTATTTAGGCATCTTTGAAGCAGGCCGATAATAAACAACATATAATGGTTTTATATATGTATGTTGATCTACAGTAGCTACAGCTTATAAATGTTCTATAGCAGAATAATTCTGGGAAAGAATTATGACTGACTGGAAGCTAAAGAGAAGTTACATGGGCATTTTGTATGACAGTACTTAATGTATGCACGTATACCTTCTATACAACTTGCAAATTAAGAATTTCAGAGCTGACTTAACTTTTTTTTTTTTTAAAAAAGGACATCTCCAGTACCTCTCCAAATACAAAATAGGGAGGGGACAAAAGAAAAATGAAGACAGAAGACATTTGCTGTATAGCTTAAATGGGGATGTCATCCAGGGCCTCAGTGTTCATTCCACATCTCAGAAGCTTTCATAACTCTTCTGCCTTTCGCTAATGATGCCTTGAGGAATTGCTGTGCAACAAATTGCAAGCCAGCTGATCTCTGCAGGCTGATGGGGAGCCACATACTCACAGGGCAGCCTTTGTTCCCCCTGCACAGACAAAGAGCTTGGTTCTTTTCTGTACCTCAATCAAGCTGCTTGTTACCATGCTGCAAGGGTACAGTTTAGAAGAATAGGTCAATTCAGGATCAGATGACTTGGCCTCTTACTCCACATCAACTTCCCTCACAAAGCCCATACACAGTCGGCTGTGCACCAAGCTGGCAGTCCCAGATGCCAGGACTGACCTCCTCGGTGGAACACAAAGCCAAGGCCTCTCCCTTCTTGCTGGCGCTGAGAAAGCCACTGCCTGCTCACTGTTGCATGCAACCTGAGGCAGATGACGTGCCCTGAGCTGGCACAGGGTGCCCTATCATGTGTCAGGCTCTGAGCACATACAGTGTTAACCCAGGCAAAGGAAATGCTTTTACTTTGGTGTTGGATTTCTTCCTAATCTCAGCAGACCAGCAGGTAGATCTGCAGAGTTTTGGAACAGGTTATAGCAGGGTAAATAAACAAGCGGTTTCCTCAGACTGGCAGGTCCTTATATCCAAGAGAGCAATTTTCAGACTGGCTAATGCAAGGCTTCCGAGCAGGCTCTTACAGAAGTAAGAGGCTGAATTCACAGTAGCATTACAGTATTTCAAGGGCCAGAAAGGCTTTTAAAGCAAAGGTGAGACCCTTGAAACAAAATCGATCCCTATGAATGAGAACTGAACCCATTACGTTCCACA